GCTCCAGCTGCTCTGTGACTGTCCACCAGGAGGCAGCACAGCTTTGGGGCTGTTGCTCCCACCCCACCCCCACCCTCAGGCTCCCAGGGATGAGGTGTCATGTGGGCCCTGTCCTGCCCCCCCATCCCCAAGAGGAGCAACAGAGTCTTGCCCCTCCCCCACCTCCCTAGAGAGCAGCCCTTGCAGGCACCGGGTCCCCAGGGTGGGTCTCCAGCCACATGCCCCCTCCCCCGTGATCCCTAGTCACTCTGCTCAGGTGTCACCTCCCCAGAGGGGCCCGCCAGCCTGACCCCGGATCTGACCCCGTTTTATTTTCTTCTGAGCACTTATCACTCCATGAAAGAATCTGTTTTATTTTAAACTAGAGGCCGGGTGCATGAAATTTGTGCATGGGTAGGGTCCCTAGGCCTGGCCAGCGATCAGGGCTGATCTGTGGGGCAACAAGGTGGGGCGATAGGGGGGCCCCTGCTGGCACCCGCCTTGGCCAGCCTGGGGCCTGCCGGCTGGGGGCAGCTCCTGCATTGAGCGCCTGCCCCCTGGTGGTCAGTGCGGGTCATAGCGATCCATCGTTCTCTTTGGTCGATTTGCATATTAGGCTTTTATTATATAGGATACCTGCCTTCCTCTCCCAGGACGAAAGCCCCAGGTGGGCACGTCACCCAGGCTGGCAGGTTCAGGCCCTGATGAAGCCGGCACTCTGGTCTGAGTGGGTTCAGACACTTCACTGTGCGAGTGGCCAGAAAAGGCCAGGGCAGCAAAGGTGTCTGCTCTGTGTCCCTGTGCCACAGGGTCACACCGAAAAGAGTGGGCCAGCCCAGCGTGGCTCAGTGGTTGAACGTCGACCTATGAACTAGGAGGTCACAGTTCAATACCCGGTCAGGGCACATGCCTGGGTTGCAGGCTCAGTCCCCAGGGTGGGGCATGCAGGAGGCAGCTGATCCATGATTCTCTCTCATCACTGATGTTTCTATCTCCCTCTCCCTTCCTCTCTGAAATCAATAAAAATATATTTAAAAAAATGTTCTGAGATAAGAGGATAAAAATGTATTTTTTAAAAAAAGAATGGGCCAGCCCTGACTGGATTGGCTCAGTGGATAGAGTGTCAGCCTGCAGACGAGGGGTCCGGGGTTCGGTTCCGGTCAGGGGCATGTACCTTGGTTGTGGGCCCATCCCCGGGGGGGGGGGGTGTGCGGAGGCAGTTGATCGATGTTTCTCTCTCATCGATATTTCTAACTCTCTATCCCTCTCCCTTCCTCTCTGTAAAAAAATCAATAAAATGTATTTTTTAAAAAGAAAGAATGAGCCAGATCATGGGCCACACCAGGGGGAGGGAGCGGAGAGAGTGTGCCCTGTTGTTGAGGCTCCATTACTTGCTGCCTGGGGCCCAGCGGGGCCGTCCCATACCGGGTCCGAGCTGGGGGAGCCTGGGGAGCCTCCTGGCAGCTCCCCACGCTCTGCCACGGCCTCTGCGGGTTCATGCAAGGCCGGCCAGGGCCATTTGCAGCATTTCTAACCCCACAGTCACTGTCTGACGAAATGGGTAGTTACTGTAAGACCCTGAGTGTGTGAGCTGTGCTTGTGCCTGGGGACAGGGCGTGGCATGAGCTTCTGGGGAGCTGCTGTTGTCCTGACGGGGCGTGTGGCAGGCAGCCTGTGTTCCTCGATGGTGCCCCCACGGTTGGCCACCTCCCCACTCTAAGGCGTCTGAAGGGAGATGGGGAGCCTGGAGGCCTGGCACAGGAAAGCAGAAAAGTTGGCGGGGCAAGGTGGCTGCGGAGGCGGGAAAGGGATGACTGTGGCCTCCGGTTCAGCTCACAGACAGCCTGCTCACTGGCTTAGGTGCCTGCTGGTTATGCGAGGGGACCCTGGGGTTCTGGGAGGGGGTGGGAGTATGTTAGTGATGTTGGGGAACATTCGTTGGGGATTTGGGGGAGGGCAGGGAGCGCTTCTTCTCCACTTGAAATGACGGAATCCAGCCCTAGCCGGTTTGGCTCCGTGGATAGAGCCTCGGCCTGCGGACCGACGGGGCCCAAGTTCGATTCTGGTCAAAGGCAGGTGCCTCGGTGTGTGCAGGAGGCAACCAATCACACCTGTGTTTCTCTCGCAGCGATATTTCTCTCTGTCTTTCCCTCTCTCTTCCACTCTCCCTAAAAGTCGATGGAAAAATATCTTCGGGTCAGGATTAAAAAAATAAAGAAAGGACGGAATCTGTGATCCCAGTTTCCTGGAGGGACTGGACTCCGGCAGGAGGACACCTGCCCTGGTGGCTGCTGTCGCTGTGAGCCTGTGTGCCGGGCCCCACGCGTCCTCTCACAGGACTAGGCTGCAGGCACCCAGCGTCTTCCATGTTTACTGAGGCTGAGAGGGGCCAGGTTGGGAATGAAGGGACCAGCAGGAACCAGGGCCGGGAAGTGGGGTACCTGGAGACCCCGCTGCTGATGGGGCAGTTATCATAGCCAAGACCTATGAAATGACGTCATTGGGGGAGGGGCCACGGGGGAGGGCGGGACCAGAAGGGAGGAGGGCCCCAGTGCCAGGCCACAGGGTCAGCTGTGCAAGTCCTGAGCCAAGCACAGCACACAGGAGCTGGCCACAGAGGCGGGCCAGGGCCGGAGCTGCAGGCGCCTGGCAGAGAGAGGCCCAGCCTGGCGGTGGGGAAACTGAGGCAGTGGTGCGGCCCTGGAGACGGCGGGTCAGGGCTGGACCTTCCTGGCCCAAGGTCCTGCCTCAGTTGGGCCTCTGGTTGCCGAGGTCTGAGAAGGGGTTGGACCTGAGGACCCAGGGCTGACCCCGGGTTCTCAGTCGCTGTCTGACCACTGCTGGGACCCCACCAGGCCCGCTGCCTGTGAGAGCATGAGTGAGCAGGAGAGGGAGACGGAGGAGGATGAGGGCGGGGGCCCTTCAGACATGGCACCCATGCTGCCCCGAAGGCGCCCGGACCACAGGGCTGGACCATCCGCCCTGGGGCTGCCCGGCCGGATGCTGGCTGGGCTCCTGCTCCACCTGCTGCTGCCTGGGGCCGTGTTCCTGCTGGTGCTGACGCCGGCAGCCGCCACCATCTACCTGGGATTCCTGTGCCACTCCAGGGTGAGCCGGGCCCTCCGGGGGAGCTGGGGGAGGAGGGGGCGCTGCGGGGACTCCCGGGAGTGGGGTCCTGTGGAAGCTCAGGGCACTGGGCCTGAGGGTGAACCGTCCCCCTTGTTGCCAGAGACATGTGTGCCCCTCCCGGGAGAGCCCTTCTCCTGCCAGCCCCTCCCCCACTGGCCACAGCAGAAGGGCCTTTGTTCCCACTATGGGGACAGCTCTCTCCCTCCCCTGAGGCCCCCAGCCTTGTACCAGGGGCCACCAGGGCCTGGGCAGCTGGGCAGGGTGGGAGGAGGAGAGGGCTCCAGGAAGAGAAGATGATGTCCGATTTCACCAGTCCACAGCCGCTCCTCCCGCCCCCACAGCCCCTGGCAGAACCCTCCTGCCCTGGGCTGGGTTCCCCATGTGCAATGGGCAGTGGCTTGGTCCAGGGCAGGGAGGGTGTAGGCAGATGGGCCCCTGTGCCCCCTTTCTATAGGCCTAAGGCAAGGGAGGGCGACCAGACGGGGGTCGCTAAAGAGAAGGTGGCACCAGCTGTGACACCCACGGGCTGGGGCTCCTGGTCAGGTGCCAGCAGAGAGAAGGGTCATGGGGAGCAGCGTGTGGGGGCTGGGGAAGCGGGGGTCGGGCAACAGCGGGAGGGGGGGAATTCTTTGAGCCTCCGCCCAAGAGATCGCTACTCCGGCCGTTTACCGCGTGGACTCCGGTAAATGGGCTCCTGATCTCCGTTAGAAATGACAGGCCCTCAGC